TTAAAACTGAGAGAATAGAGGAAAACAACAAGCCATAAGCCAACCTCACCTCAATGACCCTCTGCTTCCAAAGAGACCACTTCCTGTATACACACACCTATATTCCTTTTTCTTCTGCTAACTCATTTCCTCCCTCTGCCCAGATACATCACTTCCTCTTCATGCCCAGCTCTGTCACTTTCTGTCTGTCTGTACAGACCTTCAGACCTTTATGGTTCAATAGTGTTGGAAATTAAGGCGTGTGCAACCACTTCTGGCTCTGTTCCCAGTGTGGCCTTGAACTCACAGTGATCCAGACTGATCCCTGACTCCTTAGTGATAGGATTAAATCATGTGCTATCATTCCCTGAATTCTGTCTAATATAGTGGCTGGCTTTTTCCTCTGATCCTCAGATAAACTTTATTGGGGGACACAGATAAAATATCACCACAGTACAGTATTTACGGTCAAAAAGAAAAGAAAAAAAAAAAAAGAAAAGAAAAGAAAACCAGAAAATACCAGGTGGTGGTGGATCTGGGCTTTAATCCCAACATTCTTAAGGCAAAGGCAGGCAAATCTCTGTGGAGTTCAAGGGCAACCAGGTTTACAAATGGAGTTCCAGGATAACCAGAGCTGAAACCCTGTCTCAGAAAAAAAAACAAAGTTAAATAAGAAAACAGACCAATGACTAATTACAATGAATATTTGCATGTAAAGGTGATAGGGCACAATAATATACTATGTGACACACTGCAGTTTTCCAATGTCCTTAAGCCCTGAGTGTGAAGGTGAAAGCCTAAAATCTTCAAATTTATTCAGGAAGCAGCGAGAGCTAATGGAGTAGGCTGGCTAGTTAATGTCCTTAATCTCAAGCACAATCCCTGGGATGAAGTTCTGCCACTGTGAAGGCTATTCTTGGTTGTCAACTTGACTGCATCTGGAATGAACTACAATCCAGAAATGGAGGACACACCTGTGAGAGATTATTTTTTGCTTGGTTTATTCTGGATCAAGAGCAGGGAAACACACACATTTAATGAGGATCTCTAAGTGTTAAGATATACACCTTTAATCCAGACCTTGAGACAAGAAGACACATCTTTAATTTTGGCCACACCTTCTGCAGGATGACTATATTAGGCCATGGAAGCCGGAGGCTTTTTCTCATTTCTCCCTTGCCTTGTTACCAAGCCCATTCCTTCAGTGAAATTCATTTCTACTTCTTTGGGATTCCAGCATATACTGAAGACCAGCCAAGAGATCCAGCTTTGTGGACCAAGCCTCTCCTGGATTCAGGGACTTTCAGTTCACAGTCACCCATTGTTGGATTAGCTCGACTGCAGCCTGTAAGTAACTCCAATAAACGAGAGAGAGAGAGAGAGAGAGAGAGAGAGAGAGAGAGAGAGAGAGAGAGAGAGAGAGAGAGAGAGAGATTGAATCATTGTATAAGTTACTCTGTTTGTTGTTATTGGGAACTCTGACTAATACAATCACCAAGGCTCTACCTCCTGACATTCCCCAAGTAGGCCAAAACTGGTGGTCAAATGCCCAGACTGGAGGGACATTTCTCATGCAAACTACCACAGTGGTTTTGTTAACCTTATCTCAGGTCTTTTGAGCACTTGGTTTCCAGTAGCTAGTGCTGCTTGGAAAGTTTGGAAGCCACAAATGTGAAGCTTTCTAGGAGTAAGTCACTGGTGGATAGAGAACTCCTAATGCAATGTCACAAGACACCTAACAACCCAGCTCTAGAAGGAACAAGACGTTTCCAGACCTTTGGGTTCTAGGTGTGTTGAAAGTGTGAGTGTGAATAAACCCTTTGTCCCTAGAATTGATTCTTAAGTGGGACTTGATCACAGCCATGGCAAAAATAACAAGGGCTCTGTTATGGTATAGAAGCTGAGAATAAACAATCTGACAAGCCATGATTGGCTAGTGGTGAAATTACAAAGAGGCAGTGTGAAGAATACTAGATATGAGTCCATAATGGGAACTGCCTGCACCTGGGCCTTATCCTTGTATATTGGAGTCACTGTTGGATGGCTACACAGCAGGGAGAATGGAACAATGGTCCTGATAGATTTACAGTTCATTAATCAACTGGACCTCAATATAGTGAGGGTGTAGAATGAATCTTAGAGAGTCTTACTAATAAAACCAAACCCGAGGCCAGTTACTGGGGTCAACGCTGGTAGATCAGATAGACAGAACAAGCCACAGCTACCTCACCTCGCCGGATCCTCAGCTGGTCTTGTTTCCTCAGACTGGAAGCCTCTGAGTCCTCATCCAGAATGGGTCTCAGCTGAATTGCTGCTCAAAAGCCTGAATGCTTAACCAGGCCAAATGCTTAACCAGCCAAATGCTTCTAGTTTCTGGTCCTCATGCCTTATAAACCTTTCTGCTTTCTAGGACCACTCCCTGGGATTAAAGGCTGCTTTCTGGGATTAATGGCGTGAGTCACCATGCCTGGCTGTTTCCAATTCGGCCTTGAACTCACAGAGATTCAGAGGGATTTCTGTCTCTGGAATGCTAGGATTAAAGGCGTGTGCTAACATTTTCTAGCCTAAATATCTTGTGGCTTTTCTGTTCTCTGACCCCAGATAAGTTTATTAAGGTACACAATATTTTGGGGAACACAATACCACCACATGAGGGTGTTTCCCATTTTGTTGGTTTTGCTTCTGGGATTTATGTTTGGTGTTTGATATTTATATTTATAATGTTGGTCTTTGTTCTAGGGTTAATTTGTGCCTGTATTGTCCCATTCTTCATAAATTGTTACCCTATTTCATTTTTGAATATTAAGTCTCTTATATCCATTTTGATTCTTTTCACTGTATTTAAACATATTTAAGTATATGCCACACATACCCAATTTGATTAAACCATGCAGTGATATATTGTGTACCCTAATAATATTTGCTTGAAGATCAGAGAAGAGAAAATGCCATTAGACTAAAAATGGAGACCAGGCAGTGGTGGCACTCACCTTTACTCCTTGCACTGAGGAGGCAGAAATCTGTCAGGATCACTATGTACATGGAGTACATGAGATTGAGTCAGTCTAGGAGAGAAACAGAGCCAGGAAGTAGTGGCACACACCTTTAATCCCAGTACTTGGAAATCACATGCCTTTAATCCCAGCACTAGAGATCTCATGCCTTTGCTTGGGAAGCACCTATGTCTTTAATTCCAGCACTAAAAAGGAAGTGATCGCTGGGAAGATAAAAGTATAGGCATGAGGAGAGAGGAACTACAGCTTTTCAGGCTGAGGAGTCTTAGAGCTAAGACTTGGCAGTCGCTTGTTCCTTTGTCTCTCTGATCTTTCATCATTTATCCCAAAATCTGTCCATGGGACTTTTGTTAAAAGACCTACTAGATTTCGTACTACAAAACATTTCCATTTATGCCTGTACTTTACCTTGATCATATTGCCCTGCATTATTTCAGTACCCCTACCAAGGCTTTGTGACTGATACTCTGACTTTTACAAAGGCTCAGCCTCCTCCTCCTTCCTCATGAACCAAAGAAGACAAAGTACATCCTATTTCTGTTTGTGGACCTGCTTTGCCTCACATAAAACTACATCTAGTTTTAACTTTTTCCTCATATCACAACAGAACACTAGTCAGGGTGCTGAGTGTGGACCCTTCCCCACAGTCTCCTTATTCACTATGATGTTTTCCAATTTGATTGTTATTAATTTTGTTTCTTATGCTCCTGGGTGAGGCCATTTTGATTGTGAATGAGGGGCTCTTTAGGGTATTGCTGAGATGGCTGTGAAGTATCAAAGACTCTCATTAATGATTTCCAATCTAAATTCTTCAAGGAAAGCAGTTTGTACTTTCGTTATTCATTGAGCTTATTTTGTTGTGGGCTCAGGGTAATACCAGCACTGAGATCAGTTTGAATGCATTCCTTAGCTTTTTTTCCATAAGTCTTTTCTGTAACATTGGCGTTTGTCTTAATTGGGGTTTCTGTTGCTGAAAAAAAAATCAATGACCAAACAACAAAAAAACAAAACAAAAACACAGAAAAATAAAGTTGGAAAGGAACAGGTTTATTCAGCTTATACTTCCAAGATTGTTGCTCATCTCCAAAGTCAAGACAGCAACTCAAACAGAGCAGGCTGCTGGAGGCAGGAGCTGATGCAGAGGCCATGGAAGGTGCTGCTTACTTGATTGCTACCCCTGGCTTACTCAGCCTGCTTTTTATAGAACCCAGGACCACCAGCCCAAGGATAGCACCACTCACAATGGGCAAGTGCCTCCCCAATTGGTCACTAGTTGAGAGAATGCCAGACAGCTGGATCTCATGGAGACATGTCATCAACTGTGGTCCCTTCCACTCTGATGACTCTAGTTTGTGTCAGGTTGACCAGCAAGTCCCCCATAACAGTGTTCGTTCTTCTCCAAAGTTTTGAGAGATTCAGGGAATCCAAGAAGCCTGGGCTCAACTTGGCTTGAAGCCATTTTTGTTACCAACCACACCTGTGGCTTATGACTCAAGTCTTTAAGTGTTTTTCTTTTATCTTATTTTAATAGTCACACAAATCTAAAAGATCCTTTCATACTCTCTATTTTCATGGAGTTTAGTATTTGATTGATCATCCTCGAAAGATCCTCTGGACCGTAGTTTGGTTGGGACATAACATCTCTTTTTTTCCCCTATAAGTTTTTATCTTAAATCTCTTGATCAATTTGGGCCAGAGTTTTTCATTTTGATACATTCTTAACTAACCAAGTGATTCTATCTAGATCTCAGTCTTTTCCTTTGCACATATAAATCAGTGATTCCAACCTTGATCTTTAGTATAATTGGTTATCTAGTGCTTGGAGGTTGTGTTCTAGTATTTTTATGTCCTTGACCTGCATCATTAGATTGTTTGGGATATCTCACTTTCCATGACAGAATTTATAGCACTAAACATTCATCCAAAAATTGCATTAACTATTTTTTCTTGTGTTGTTTCTCCCAGCAATTGGCAACAAGATAAACTATCCTAAAGGAGCAGAACATCATGGCAAGTCCCTTGGAAGAAAACATCCTTGAAAAGGATTTCAGGATCTTAACATCTCTAGGCTCTGGTGGATTTGGGGAGGTGAAACTTGCCTGCCACCTTCCTACACATACACAGGTGGCTGTCAAGGTCCTGGAGAAGAAAAAGATTTCTCTAGCTCACATCAACACTGAAGTAGAGATACTTCAATCTGTGGAACACAGAAACATAGTTCATTTCTTTCATGTTATTGACACAAGTACAATAACTTATTTGATCATGGAATATGTTTCAGGAAAGGACCTGGATGTGTTCCTCCAGGAGAGAGACTTTCTAGAGGAGGATGAGGCTAGACCAATATTCCAACAGGTTGTTTCAGGAGTTCATTTTCTCCACCAAAAACGAATCGCCCATCGTGACATTAAATTGGAAAATATCCTTATTGACAGAGCTGGCAATGTCAAGCTCTGTGACTTTGGTATGGCCAGACAGCTGGCAGAGGGGCAGATGTTGGAGAAGGTCTGTGGTACCTTGCTCTATTTGGCTCCAGAGATTTTGGCAAGGAAACCCTATGATGGACTGGTGGGGGATATGTGGAGCTTGGGAGTCCTCCTGTATGTACTGGTCACAGGAGAATTTCCATATACAGGACCCACCCTGGAACATATGTACAAGGCCATCACCACCACAAAGTATCCCATTTTCTGCTACATGTCAAAACCCTTTCTAATCATCATTGAACAATTACTTATGATCCCCACCTGGGACAGGATAACAATATGTCAGCTCCAGGAAAGACAATGGCTGGGCAACATTAAAGAACATGCAGCACCTGCAACTAAGAAAATACTTCCCAGGGTGGTGCGGACCATGTGCACCATGGGATATACCTGTGAAGACATTGTATCATCCCTAAAACACAAGCAACCAAATAATTTAATGGCTACCTTCAATATCCTCAAATACAAACTGAGCTGTGGGGACAGCCAACAGCAAAGTCAAAAGCCCTGGTTAAATGGCAGCCCTATAGGTGCTGTTCGCCCCCTTCTCACCTTGAAGAGGAGAGCAAGTGAACCAGCCTTCCCACCAAGTACAGGAGATGTGAAGAGACATTTTCATGAGGAGGCTGTGGAAGGAAGAGGCAGGAGATGCCAAAGCTACAAAATGCTCAACAGATACTCACGCCTGAAAAAAAGCCCTGTGCAGATGTAACTTTCCCAGAAGGAGATGTCCTGATGGCTAATGTCATCAACAGTGCTACAGCACACATTGCAGTCAACAAGAATTCTGTGCAGAGTATCCCTGGTGATCTCTCCTCAGGTGAATCAGTCCAGATTGGAACACTTAATAAGTTTCTGAACATGGGCTTCTCCAGAGAAGAACCATTCATGGGACCCAATATGCCCTATGGCCAGCCACATGATGAACCTACATCTATGGGATCCAGGCCACTCAGAGGGTGGAAGCTGATGAAGAAGAGAATTTCTCATGCACTGAGAGCACTGTTTTCCTGCTCCATGCCCACTTCCTTTGGAGCCCTGGATCCCTGTGTAAGCTACAAAGAAACGAGAAGACAGTTCAGTCCATAGGAGACCTAGTTTTTGGCCACCAATATATTCTCCTCCATTGTATCTTGACTATGTTATTTTAATAAATATCCTTTGGTAAATTACAAATATACTATCTCAGAGGGCACCTGCCAGCTATATCTCCCCTACAGTCAAAGCCAGACACACAAACACACATATGAATGCATGAATACAACTTGGTGTCAGGGCCTGCTAAGTATACAACCATAAATTCTAAGCCTTCCACAATGCTAGCATTCAGGACCTGACCAGTATCACATTTTTTACAAACAAAGCCCCATATATGCATATGGGTCTGTGTACCAGGTCTTGCCAGGTATTCCCTCCCTACTGCCATAGCAAACCCCTCTCTTCTCTCTCCTTTTTTTCTCTCCATTTCTCTAGATTCACACACAGACACAGACACACAGACACACACATACACAAACACACACACACACACACACACACACACACACACACACACAAAATGTAGATTACAAGACTCATTAGGCATGCCCTGCCTTAAAAGAGAGACCCATTCATACTTTCATTCACAGGCCCTGCTAGATAGTCTCTTTCCTATAGTAAAAGCCCAACATATGCATACAAGTCTACATAATAGGTCCAGGTACGAAACCCTTCTCCATCAATTTTAGGCCCCTTTATATACACTCTATCAGTAGTTACAACCTACTGAAAGTATAATAAACGGTGGTGATTGCAGCACAGTTTACATCATGGAAAGGGCACAGACACAAGAGAAACCAGTGGTCATTTTTAGAGCTTTGTTAGGAGGGAAGAGGGCTTGGGGTAAGGGGACCAGGTCTAGTAAGAGAGAAAGACGGTTTGGGTGAGGGAGCAGAGCAGATCAGGGAACAGAAAGATAGGGAGGGGTTCATTGCCACCATTTTTTAAAACTTAGATTGCGTGAACACAATGCACTTACATAGTTGCCAGTGCCCGCTAATGACTTAAGACACAAGACCCGGAGGATCAGGGCAGGATTCTAACACCTACTTTATAAAGCCCTGCCTGATGATCGTAGTCCCCATATTCATACAAGGGAAGTGTCATGTCCTGATATATTTCTCTCCAATTAAGTTCCACATACACATGCATGGCTAGGTGTCAGGCACTGCACAGTAGCCCATCTCCTACATCCAATGAACTACTATCACATGATAGGGTGGTTGCCAGGTCCTGCTGTGCTTACCCTCTCAAACAGCTACAGCCCTCACACACAGGTGTGTTTCAGCTCCTGCTGGGTACAAACTTTCCTATAACAAAAGCAAACAGAAACATGATAATTAGCACACAGCAGGCCATCTTTTTTAGAGTTTCTATAGCTGTGCAGAGATACCGTGACCACTTACAAAGAAAACATGTAATTGGGTGGCTTACAGCTTCAGAGCTTTAGTCTAGCATCATCCTGTGCAGACATGGTGGCATGCAGGGACACATGGCGCTGAAAAAGGAGCTGAGAGTGAATAAGGAGTCACAACTTAATCCTGCAGACAACAGGAAGTGGTCTGAGACACTGGGCATGGCTTCAGCACCTATGCAACCTTGAAGCATACCTCAGTAGAGACAGATTTCCTCCAAGGAGGCCACACCTACTCCAACAAAGCCACACCTCCTAATAATGCCACTCCCTGGGATCTTATGGAGTCTATTTACACTCAAACAACCACAATCCCCTCACTGGACCCCAGTATCATGTAGCAATAGGATAATGCAAATTTCATTTAGTCCAACTTCAAAAGCCCTCACATTATATCATGATCTCAAAAGTGTTTTAATATCCAAACTTCCAAGTTTCTTCTGAGATTCATGCAATCTTTTAACTGTAATCCCCTATAAAATCAAAATCAAGAAACAGACCACATACATCCAACATATAATGGCACAGGATACACATTACTGCCAAAAATACAGGGAAGGGAAAAAAGTGATGAAATTCTAGACGAAAGAAGATCAAAAACAAGCTGGGCAAACTCCAAACTCTGCGTCTCCCAGTCTGATGTCAAAAAGCTCTTCAGATACGCAACTCCTTTCAGCTTTGCCGACTGCAACATACTTCTTTCTCTTGTGCTGGTTCTACTCCCAATAAGCCACTGTCCTTGGCAGGTATCCCACCCACAGCTCTGGGATCTCAAACATCTTGGGTTATTCTAGGCACTCCAGGCTTCATATTCACAGCTTCATGCAATGACTTCTAGATGCCTCCATTTACTGGCTTTGCCTAGTTGGTGAGGGACATTCCATAATATCCTTCTTCTACTCTTGACTCTAAAGCCAGAACCATGTAGCCAAAACTGCCAAGTTCTGCTGCTTACTAGGGCTGGAACATAATTCCCTAGTTCAAGTACATCATAACCAGATTTCTGTTTTCCATGATTTCCTTCAATGCGTGTGCTTGTCTGCTCTGGAAATAACTCTGTAGACAGGGCTGGTATAAAGTTCAATCATCCACCAGCTTCTGCCTCTCTAGAGTTGGGAATTTCCTGTTGACATTTCCTGTGCCACTATACGTAGCTCAAAGCTTTTCTTTAATTTTTTTTTCACTAGTTAGAAACTTAGCTGGGTGGGATCTTGCCCTGAGGTCACAACTCTTTTTTTTTTTTTTCATTTCTTAATCTTTTTATCTTCTTGAACACAGGGATAGAGTGGGAAAGCAATGAAAGAGGTAAAATGATAGAGGGAGATATCATGGGGATAGAGGTAAATCCAGTGCTAGGGAAGTTGCCAGGAATCCCCAAGGATGACCCCAACTTGGACTATTAGAAACAGTGGAAAGGGCACCTGAAGTAAACCAGCTTGCCTCAGTGATCAGACCAGTGAATACCCTAACAGTCTATCACAGAGCTCTTCTGCAATGACTGATGGAAGAAGATGCAGAGATCCAAGGCCAAACACCATGCAGAGCTCCAGAAGTCCAGTCAAAGAGAGAGAAGAGGGATTTTATGAGAATGTGCATCAGGATTATGATGGGGAACCCTGCAGGAACAAACAAGAGTGGGAACTCATGAAAGTTGTATCAATGGCTGTGGAGCCTGCATGGGACTGGATTAGGCCCTCTGCATTGTAAGACGTTATGTAGCTTGATCTGCTTGGTGTGCCCCCTGGAGGAAGGATCATAATCCATTCATGTTTCATGACCATGCTTTCTGGCGCTCACTACCTATGATGGGACACCTCATGCAGCCTTGAGTCAGGGTAAAAGGCTCAGATGTACCTCTTGTGGATGTGCCTCTACTGGACGTGCCGCCCCATTGGAGGGCCTTGCCTTCTTGTAGGAATAATGTGGCATGGGTAAGGAGGGGAAAGGTGTGAGGGTGCAGGAGGGAAGGGGGGCGCTTTGATTGGTGTGTAAAATGAATGAAAATTTATCCTATTAAAATATTTCTGTGGTTGGAGAGATAGCTCAGAGGTTAAGGACACTGGCTGATCTTCCAGAGGTCCTGAGTTCAATTCCCAGCAACCACATGGTGGCTCATAAACATCTGTAATGAGATCTAGTGCCCTCTTTTGGCCTGCAGGCATACATGCATACAGAACACTGTAGCTCTATACATAATAAATAAATAAATCTTAAAAAAATTGTAAGTTGAAAAAACAGAAGAATCCAAAGGAAGCTGACTCCAAAAAGAAAACCCAAAATGTCATCCACCGTGATCCACCATGATCAAACATCTTTCATTCAGAGATGTATAGATCATTCAAGACATATATATCAATAAAATGATCCACCATACAAACAAATTGAAAGATATAACCACATATTCATCTCATTCGGTGCAGAAAAGGCCTTTGACAAAATTCAACATCCGTTCATGATAAAAGTCCTGAAGAGTTTAGTAAGACAGGGGCTTATCTAAACAGAATAAAGACAGGCTACAGCAAGTTGAAAACCAACATCAACTTAAATGGACAATAATTCAAAGCAATTCTACTAAAAACAGTAATAGGACAGGTTTTCCCATCTCTCCATACCTCTTCAACATAGGACTTGATGTCTTAGCTAGAGCAAGAAGACTACTGAAGGAGATCGAGGGGACATAATGGGAAAGGAAGAGGTCAAAGTATCTTTATTTGCCAATGATATCATAGTATACATAAGTGATCATAAGGTTTCCACTCAAACTCCTACAGCTGATACACATTTTCAACAAAGAAGCCTCATACAAATAAACTTACAAAAATCAGTAGTCCTTTTCTATAAAATGGAAAGCCAATTGAGAAAAAAATCAGGGAAAAATACCATTCACAACATCTCAAATAATATAAAGTAAAACTAATGAAGAGAGTGAAGAACATGTATGAGTGAGAAAAAATAAGAAAATATCGGAAGATGGAAAGATCTCCCATGCTCATGGACCTGTAGGATTAATATAATAAAAATAGTCATCCCACCAAAAGCAATTTACAAACTCAATACAACCCCCACTAAAAGTCCAAAGCAATTTTTCACAGATCTTGAAAGGACAGTTTTCAGCTTCTTATGGAATAACAAAGAACCAAGGATTACTAAAAGTTCCTGAGTCATAAAATAACTGTAAGAGATACAACTATTTTTTAGTTGTACTACAGAGTTATAGTCATAAAAACAGAATGGCTTGAACCCCAAAAGACATGTGCTGT